AGAGATTTTCACGTTTTGTTCTATGACATAAAATCACCACATCACCTAGTGAATTTTTAAGCTTATATGGGTCTTAAGAAAGGCGGCTGTGTGGCTAAATCAGAGTGCAGACATTGTCTGTGACATTAAACGTCACACTTTTTGGTGGTGGTGACGTAAAGTGATGCGACCGTGGATGATTATCTTGCTGAACATGTAAACATGTAAATATCATTAACCTTGGTTCGCAACATTGCAATAATTCAAAATCCAGTGAAAAATCTAGTTGGTATTTTATTCAGGAATGTCGTTTTGACTCGTTGCCGCAAGTTGGAGAGTTTTCTTCCAATAACACTGATTTAAAAATCTGAATGCGTAGAAATAAAATGTATAGAAAAAGACACTCTCTGCCTCCATTTCCATGAGACCATAGCACTTTTTGTCAGTGCAGAATGGTTCCTCTGCAGGTCTATATGCCCTGTTACAATAAGAAACTGAAGTGGCAAACGTTCGCTAAACTGACAAAAACAATTTCATTCTGCTGTCGCTAAATGTTTTCGCAGTCCCGCCAACTCGATGAAATGCCACAGGGAAACGCGACCTGCACTGATTGGACAGTATCCATAGCAACAAGCATCATCAGGTGCCTATGAATACAGAAGTAGGTCGCTTTAGTCATGTCTATAGTATTGTACATCTCTGGATTAAAACCTTTTTAAGCCAAAAACCTTAAGGAGCAATTTAGTCTCTTACTGTAATAGGAATATAGAGAATGAAAGCAACAGCAGCACGTCTACGCATACAGGAGTGAATGTGGGAAGAGAGGGGTTATTTAAATCAGCTTATGGTTAGAGGGAAAGGGAAGGAGAAAAGAGACATTCACACTAACAGGATAACTCTGCCGAGGCTCCTGCCTGCCTGCTGTTCCTCCCATTTTCCCTCCAACTCTTCCAGTTCTTCCCCCCGTTCCTTCCCCTGTCTCTCTCCTACTTGGCCCTGGAGACATTTTACATTTACATTACATTACACAGTCTGAGATGATGAGAGCGCTGTGTACCTGTCAGTCTCGATACAGTACTGCTCCTGCCTCCAGGTGAGGAGGGGGAGACTCAACACACACACACACAC